ACATATAGGAGTTGTTTGTTGGTTGAATTTTCATTATATATTTTTTAAATATTCATTTATTCATTATTTTATGCATACATATATGTGCCTGAGTATGTAAGTGATGTCTTATGTGTCTTGTGTGCAGGGCCTGCAGAACCCATTGTGTGATGTAGATGTGGGAGCCGAGTTCTAGTCCTCGGGCAAAACAGCAAGCGCTCTTAACTCCTGGGTCACCTCTCCTGCCCCATTTTATTGTTTTAAATTCAGATTTTCTTTCTTGTGAAACTTGTGTATAGTGTGACCCAGCACTTGTCCTTGGTGGTGTGCTGCTGCTTCTCCTGTGGCATCTTCTCCTATGGCATCTTCTCCTGTGGCATCTCCTGCTACATCTTGTGCTCATGGACTTGTCTTTGGATCAGTTTGCTATCAGGGCTGAGAATTTCAGCATGGAATAATAATCATTAAAAATTGCTCTGGGAGGACGAGGCTCAGGAAAGAGTCTTTTCCTACAGGTCTCAAGATTAAATTGCAGCAGCCTCATCCCCTAAGTGCCTTGCCACTCTCCAGATACTTGACTGATGCCTATTGTATAAACACCTCTGTTCTAGGTAATACAGGAATCAGAGGAAAGACATGATGAGCTCTCAGTGAGCCCCAATTTCCACTTAGTCAGATTTTCAGAGGTTTTGGGGTATTCACTTGTGACCACTACCACCACCACCACCAGACCATTTATGACTTATTCTGATGTTTTCAGGAAACTGTGGCAAGATTGATTCTCTCACCTGGCCTGCAGCTCCAGGGTTCTTTCTTTCCCAGACACCTGGAAAGTGTGTGGATATTCTTCATTGTGAGTCTCCACAATTTTCATTCCATCAATGCCAACTCTGGTTCGAACTGTGAATTTTGAGCCCACCAAGCTGAATCTGGGCACACAATATAGCAACATGTTGTTGAACTGCAGAGAAACAGAACATGAATTAATAAACAGGAAGATAAAAAAACAAAATTTGACTAATGTAACTGGACAAAAATACCTTTTTTTTTTTTAAAAAAAAAAAGGGCATATGACTTTCCTTTTTCTCTCCATTGGTGTGCTATGTAACCAGAATAGGTCTTAAACTTACAGTCAGTCCTGTGTTAGATTTCCAAGTGCTGGGGGATAGGCATATATCACTACCTGTTTTATTAGAATTCAATCCAATACTCATTGAACAAATTCATAACAAGTGAACTAAAGGGTGACTGAACTGTAAGATAAACAATAGCAAATATTCAGAGGTTTAGCACACAATAAAAGAGGACACATTATGCATTTCTTTATAAGGTAGAACTTAAAATAGGGAATAAATGTAAGAAACATAGTGGTTGCAAGAATCATATAAAATATATCATGTGTCTGAATAGCTTCCTTCTCCACATAATGTACTTTGTACTTTTTCCTTCTCCCAAAATGATATAATATATGCCACTTAATACTTTCCATGAATTTCATTTTCATTGTAAACCCTCTTTTGCTAACAATGGATATACTCAAACTATCAGGAAAAAATGCAGCATCAACAGACACTATTGCCACTTTCAGTTGTACATCAAAACTACATGGTACATCAAAACTACATACTCTTTTGCTGAATACATTACACATTTTGGGTGCAGAGTATGGAGAAATTGAAAACTGAGCTGGGTGCTTCTTCTTCAATAGTTAGCTTTCACAGTACCAGAAAGTGCTATGTAGGCTGCTGAGTGGTTATCATTGGTCTCATGCTCATGAGGATCTTTTGAGTTACAATGTCAACTGTCAGAGAGGATGTGGCCCTGATGCAGGAGGGGCACAACTGATGGGAGGAACCAAATGCGTTCTGATTGGATTTGGATTCTACAAGTGGGAAACTTGTCAAAGGAACGGCATGGTGAGTACCACTGATGCATCGCTAAATGGGCACATCGAGCTGCTTTACGTTTATACAAACAAAGGCTACTTTCTGCTCTGATTTGAGAAATGTCTTTGTAGTAAATGCAGAGATCCGTGCCTGCTCAAGGTGCTGAAAATAAATGACTGAGGAGAGCTTAACTCTAAATCGACATCCACATCCACATCCTACTCATGGCTGCTGCACTCATGAAGTCAGAGAAGCTATGGATATCTGCAAAAGAGATGCAAAACAGATGACCTCTGCTAAAAATTCTCATCATCTCTGGGAAAAGGGGTAATTTTCTTCCGTTGTATAGTATTCTATACTCTGGTATATAACTCCACACTCGGACTTATCGAAGCAACACTGATTAAAGTCATCAGGTCAGCCAAAACATAAAAAAAATAAAGAGAGAGAGAGAGAGAGAGAGAGAGAGAGGAGAGAGAGAGGAGAGAGAGAGAAGAGAGAGAGAGGAGAGAGAAAGAGAGGAGAGAGAGAGAGAGAGCAGAGAGAGAGAAAGAGAGTAGAGAGAGAGGAGAGACAGAGAGAGAGAGAGAGAGAGAGAGAGAGAGAGGAGAGAGAGAGAAAGAGAGGAGAGAGAGAG